CTTGAAGCTGCCAAAAGGTTTACTCAGCTTTTTAGCCTTTTAGAGTTGCTGATGAATCAACAAATGCCCCAAGGAGAAAGTGGTACCACATGCTGGTTTAACAGCTCTAAATTTCCCTCGTCTCCAGAACCTTGGCCCTCAAGTACTCACTTCCTTGGCGGCTTTTAAGTCATTTTTAAAACTCGTTTTTTAAAACTAGCTTTTCTGATTATTTTCATGAAGTTGTTCTGATATAAAGTAGTCTGCCATAGCTGGATGTGAAAATCTTACCTATGTGACTTCCTTTGGTATTATTCATTTAGCAAGCATTTATACCAAAGGTTTAATTACAGGCATACTTTGAAGATACCGTAGGTTTGGTTTCAGACCACTGCAATAGAGTGAATATCACAATAGAGCAAGTCACATGAAATTTTTTATTTCCCAGTGTATATAAAAGTTATGTTTACACTGTATTGTAGTCTACTAAGTAACAGCATTGCTTTCTTAAGAATAGTATGTCTAAAAAACAAAGTACATACCTTAATTTCAAATACTTTATTGCTAACAAATGCTAATGGTCATCTGAGCCTTCAGTAAGTTGACATTTTTTTGTTGGTGGAGGGTTTGCCTCAATGTTGATAGCTGCCGACTAATCAGGTTGATGATTGCTGAATGATGGAATGACTGTGGCAATTTATTAACATGAGACAACAATGATCTTTGCTGCATCAATTGATTCTTCCTTTAATGAAAAATTTCTTTGTAGCATATGATGCTGCTTGATAGTGTTTACCCACTGTAGAACTTATTTCAAAACTGGAGGCAATCCTCTCCAATCCTGCTACTGCGTTATCAACTAAGTTTAGGGAATATCCTAAATATTTTGTTGTCATGTCAGCAGTATTCACAGCACCTTCAGCAGAGGTAGATACCGTCTCAATAAACCACTTTATTGGTTCATTCATAAGAAGAAACTCCTGATCTGATCAGGTTTTTTTTAAAATGAGATTGTAGCAATTCAGGCACATCTTCACACCCTACTTCTAATTTTAGTTGTCTTGCTATTTCTACCACATCCATATTTACTTCCTCCATTGAAGTCTTGAACCCCTTAAAGTCAACCAATGAAGACTGAAGTATTAACATTAATAGGAGTTTGGAAGAAGTTCATTCTTCCAATAAAGATTGGAATGAACTTCTTCCAAACTCCTGTTAATGATAATACTTTGCCTCCTTCCATGAATCACAAATAATCTTCATGGCATCTAGAATGGTGAATTCTTTTCAGAAGGTTTTCAATTTACTTTGCCCAGATCCATCAGAGAAATCTCTTTCTATGGCAGCCATAGTCTTATGAAATGTGTTTCTTAAATAATAAGGCTTGACAGTCAAAATTACTCCTTGATCCATGGGCTACAGAATGGATATTGTGTCAATAGACATGAAAAACAACATTAATCTCCTTGTATATTGCCATCAGAGCTCTTGGGTGACCAGGTTCATTGTCAATAAACAGTAATAATTTGAAAAGAATATTTTTTCTAAGCAATAGTTCTCAACAGTGGTCTTAAAATATTCAGTAAGCCATGCTGTAAACAGATGTGCTGCTATTCAGCCTTTGCTTTTCCATTTATAAAGATCAGACAGAGAAGATTTCACATGATTCTTAAGGGCCCTAGAATTTTCAGAATGGTAAATTTGCATTGGCTTCAACTCAACTCAAATTCACCAGCTGCATTAGTTTCTAGCAAGAGAGACTGTTCTTTGAAGCTTCGAAGCCAGGAATTGACTTCTCTCTAGCTATGGAAGTCGTAGATGGTATCTTTTTGTAATAGAAGGTTGTTTCATCTACATTGAACATCTGTTATTTAGTGTGGCCACTTTCATCCATGATCTTAGCTAGATCTTCTGGATAACTTGCTGCAGCTTCTACATTTGCACTTGCTGTTTCACCTTGCACTATAAAAGTTAAGAAGATAGCTTCTTTCCTCAGCCTTCATGAACCAACTTCTACTAGCTTCCAACTTTTCTTCTGCAACTCTCTTGCTTCTCTCAGCCTTCATAAAGTTGAAGAAAGTTAGGGCCTTACTCTGGATAAGGTTTTGGCTTAATTAAGGAAATGCTGTTCCCGGTTTGATCTTCCATCCAGACTACTCAAATTTTCTTATATCAGCAATAAGGCTATTTCACTGTCTTATTATTCATGTGTTCATTGGAGTAGCACTTATAATTTTCTTCATGAATTTTTCCTTTGCCTTCATATCTTGGCTATTTGGCACAAGAGGCCTAGCTTCCAGCTTATCTCTGCCTTTGACACGTCTTCCTCCCTAAGCTTAATCATTTCTAGCTTTTGATTTAAAATGAGAGAGTTGTAACTCTTTTCACTTGAACAGTATTAATTGGTTATTAATTGGCTTAATTTCAATACTGTTGTATCTCAGGGAATAGGGAGGCCCAGGAGAGAGAGAGAGATGGTGGAGAGGCTGGTCATTGGAGCACTCAGAACACACACAGCATATGTTGATTAAGTTTGCCTTTTTACATGGGCATGGTTCATGACACCCCAAAGTAATTACAATAGTAACATCAAAGATCATTGATCACAGGTCACCACAGCAGATATAATAATAATGAAACAGTTTGGAATATTGTAAGAATTACCAAAGTGAGCACATGCTGTTGGAAAAATTGGCACCAATAGACTTGCTTGACACAGAATTGCCACAAACCTTCAATTTGTGAGAAAATGCAATATCCACAAAGGAGAGTAAAGTGAAGCTCGATGAAATGAGGTATACCTGTACACTGTTTAGTTGTTGTAAAGTGGACTTCTAAAGCAATGCATGTACTAGACAATGTCTTAAACTTTGTGTACTCTTGTGCATATTCTTTTTTTTTTTCTGAGACAGGGTCTCACTCCCATTGCCCAGGTGGGAGTACAGTGGTGTGATTATAGCTCATTGCAACGTCAAGCTCCTGGGCTCAAGTGATCCTCTTGCCTTGCTATTCAATTCTTTGTAGAGATGAGTTCTCACTATGTTGTGCAGGCTGGTCTCAAGCTCCTGAGCTCAAGTGATCTGCTTACCTTGGCTTCTCAAAGTGCTGGGATTACAGGCATGAGCCACTGCACCTGGCCTCCATATGCTTTAAGGTCACAAAGGATCTTACTGCTACCTGTTTGAGTCATCTATGTATCACATCATGTTTTGTTTCATCTCTTAACATTATTTAATGATAATAAGTCTAAGAATACAGTGTCATGTTGAAAAAACTTAATTTGTAAGTTTTTAGTTCTATGTTGATGTATATATGTAAAGAAATAAAATGTTCTAAAGTAAAAGAGAAGTATTAACAGGTTCAGTTCTCTCTCACACACATGCACACACACACCATGTAATATTTACAAAAGCTTTAATTTAACATAGGAAGCTACATTTCCTATTGAATGGTATTGTGCTCACTGATACAGCACTCACCTGGTATCTATACAGTCAATAGGCATCTCTTTATAACTAACCCAAATATTAATACACCAGTGTGTGTGCAGATCTACAGGCAAGCTGCTCAACAGGTATAGGACACTGAAGCCACAAGATACAGAGTAGTCTTAAGGCATCTCTTAAGCACTTAATCTAAAAACAAAACTGAGTTATTCCATTAATTTCCATTTCCCCTAATGTTTTACTTTTTATAATTTTCTACATTCTCATTTTGAGAAAAAAAAATTATGACATTGTTCAGAATGGGCCTTCAACCTTTTTTCCCTGACACTCCTGAACCCTTCTTTAAATTCTATGGTACACCTTTTTTATGCAAGGGATATATTACTAATAACAGTAGTGTGTAAAAACTAAAATCTTAATAGTACAATATTTTTATTTATTTATTTATTTATTTATTATTTTTTGAGACAAGGTCTCACTCTTTTGCCCAGACTACAGTGAACTTGTGTGAGATTTCAACTCACTGCAACCTCTACCTCCTGGGCTCAAGTACTCCTTCCACCTCAGACTTCCAAGTAGCTTGGACTACAGGCACGTGCCACCACTCTCGGCTAATTGTTATGTTTTTTATAGAGACAGGGGTCTTGCTATCTTGCCCAGGCTGGTCTTGAACTCCTGGTCTCAAGTGATCCACCCACCTCAGCCTCCCAAAGTGCTGAGATGACAGGCATGAGCCACCACAACCAATCACAATATTTAAATACTAAAGAAGATCACTATTTAAATATAGTCTATTTGTCATTCATTTTTGGAAATAAAAATTTACTCATTAACTTATTCATTTTTAAATGAATAATTATTAAGCAGCCTATAAATTGAGTAACTTTTTTTGAGTGTGAGACAGTATACTAAATATTTTACTCTAAAATGAAGGTCAAGTGATCAAATAATGGATTATGAGACTATTAAAAATTCAGAACATCCATGGAAATTATAAAAACTGAATAAAGAGAAAAATAGATGCCCATTCTATAAATCATACTAGAGATATCATTTAGTGATATTTTTGATAGCATAAGTTTTGGGTTGTACCTATTCTGGAATCTTGGGCCATTAAGTCTCTAAATTACTTCTAATCTGTCCTAAAGCCTGCAAAAATGGAAGTTGGAATCTGGAGTTACACAGTAATTCTCATAGCCTTGCATGTGAATTATATATGAAATTCTTGAATATTATTGTCACTTGAAATCATGCATAAACCTAGATCAATCTTTTGATTTGAAACTGCTATTAAAATAACATTTTTACAGTGTGAGGGGATAATCTTGATGTTAAACCAATGATAATTTCTGAATCATTTTCTGCATTTTTATGCTAAAAAAGCCCAAGTTTGAAAATAATAGTAATATTACAAAAATGAGTCTTTGTCTCGGCTAAGAAGATATCCTATATTGCTATTTAGATTCTTTTCTCAAAAGAAAAAAAAATTTCTACCAGGGAATTCAGTTATCTGTACCATGATGGAAAAATCTTAGTATTATATGCCAACAGTGTCACCCAGGATCATTGAGTTACCTGTTAAAGCTCCTGTAATCAGGCAGTTCTGCCTTTCCTTCAGGCTTGAAAAGTTTAGGATATAAAGCCTCTAAAAGCTCCGGATCATTGCTAATGGCCTGCTCCCAGGGAGACTGATAGTACTTAGGGACAGCTGTGGTGTTGAATTTTTCAGGAGGAATTTCCTTCAGTGGTCCAGAATATCCTTTGGAAAAATATAGCAAAAATAAGTAAACACTGTGCCCAGAGTTACTAAACTCCACCTAGCATTTCACCATGTTTGATTTTTCATGCTGGGTTAAATTTATGAAGCATCCATCCTCTTTATCATCTCTTAGAAAACAGCAGTCTGCAAGTGTTAGACATTTTAAAGTTCCTGTAAGCTTATGGGAGTTTAAAAAGAAACCATTTTTCTTAATGTTTAATTTTTTCAAATTATACTTTTTCCTTGACTATCTTGGAATATATTTGTTCCAGTAAAATTATTCATTCAATTTTCTAAAAATTGTGCTCCTTGCATTAATTCACACTAAACATTAGATACCACAATTAATTAATTTTAAAATGCTAATATTGAGTGCTTGTTGTAGTCTAAGCTGGGGAAATCGCAATGAAGACAAAATCTCCCTCCTCTCGAGCTGATTCTTTAGAGGTGATGTTTGAGTTTTGTCTATCTTCAATTGCTGAATGCTCTGTAAAATGTTTAAGCTTCAAGAAGATGGAGTAACTTGTCTCCACTACCTTATTCAAGCCCAGCTCTTCTTAACTCCCCATGTATCCATTTCTGTTTATTTTGTTCCTCAAGATTTCTTACCTACCTTTTCTGCTTCTGATCTCACCTCCCCAGCTTATTCTCGTAACAGCTGGGAATTTTCTGTAAATACCATTTAAAAGTCACAGAAATTCCTGGCATAGATCTTTAAACCTTTTTCACAGTGACACTCTTCCAGTTTTCTTTTTTTTTTTTTTTTTTTTTTTTTTTGAGACGGAGTTTTGCTCTTGTTACCCAGGCTGGAATGCAATGGCGCGATCTCGGCTCACCGCAACCTCCGCCTCCTGGGTTCAGGCAATTCTCCTGCCTCAGCCTCCTGAGTAGCTGGGATTACAGGCACGCACCACTGTGCCCAGTTAATTTTTTGTATTTTTAGTAGAGACGGGGTTTCACCATGTTGACCAGGATGGTCTCGATCTCTTGACCTCGTGATCCACCCGCCTCGGCCTCCCAAAGTGCTGGGATTACAGGCTAGAGCCACCGCGCCCGGCCTCACTCTTCCAGTTTTCTAAGGCACAGTTATCTACTTTCTGTTTACACTGCCATACTACCTGATTATATCCCTGCAATTCTCTCTTCCATCATGTTAAATCCCTTTACCATTTGATGACTTCTACTTTTAGAGTTCTCTGATGCTCTTTCCCATCTATACAATAATTTTGATTTTCTTCCATCAAAGCATGCCTATCTTTACACCAAAATGTTTATCTCCTCCAAAACAGTCCCTTCCTTGATAATTCCATGTGTAAATAGTTATTTGTGATTATTTAATTTTTCTCAGATTGCCTCCAATATCTAAAAGAGATCTTTTTATAGGCTCCTTTTCTCTGCTTACCACTTACATACTGTTGTTCCTCAAAGCTCTTTTCTTACACAATGTACTCTACCTAAAAAATTCCATTTATATCCATAGCTTCAGTTGTAACCTATGTATTGATGATTCTGACTTTTTTTAATCTTCAAGCCTTCTACTCAATTATTTACTATATTTGTCAAAATTAATGATCCACTGTCACTCTTTATAACTTGTCTAGACCTAAATGCAGCCATTTTCTAATATATTTTGCTTCTTTTTCTATTTTGGTCATTTTAGCAAATATTATCACTTTACTCTAAATGATCAAAGACAGCATTATCCAAAACTCTCCCTCTTCCCCACAACAAATCACAAAGTGTTACCAACTATATTTCCTAAGAATTTCTAAAATAGTGGCTCTCATACTATTGTGTCTTAATTATCTTGGAAACATATTTAAAATGTAAATAATAGGATCCTCCCTCCAGAGATTTGGCTTCAGTAAGTCTCAGGTATGGGTCCAAGTGTTTAACAAACTCTAATACAAGTCTTAGGCAAGTGGTCTACAAACAGAACAACGAAGAACATTGTTCTAAGAAATTCTCTTTACATTTCCATTACTCCTGCCCTGGTCAGGCCCAGGTGTCTCTTGCCCAGGTGTTCGTCAGAGCTTCAACACTAATCCTTTAGCTCTAACCCAGCTCCCAGCCACCCTCCACACTGCTGCCCCAGGAGACCTTCCTAACTGGCCACACTCTTCCCCTGTTCAGGGTGCCCTAATGCCTCCCAGGACAAAATCTCAACTACTCAGTGTGACCCAGGTGGCCCTTCCACCTGTCGAGCCTCACCAGCTGCTTTCTCCTCTCACACTCTTTGCTCCGGGACTATGGATCTAGTCATTTGTTGCTTGGGGTGCCTCTTATGCCCCCCTACTTGGTCTGTTTATTTCCTGTGCCTGAAATGTTCTCCCTACTTCCTGTCATGTGCAAATTTCTATTGTAAGCCTCAGCTTCAGGTCACCCTTCTAGGCAGCCATTCCTGCCTCCCCAAGGAAAAGAGTTTTCTTTCCTGTGTCTTCTCTTCATATATTGTATGTAATTCCATCACCATAACTACCACATTAATCTCCTATTCCTTTCATGGAGTCAGACATTTAGAAACTTGAAAACTTTAACATTTATAAATTTTTAAAAATTCCTCAAAATCCCACTACCCTAACACAAATATTTAGTTGTATGGATTTTCTTCCAGTTTTTCTTCACCCATAAACATAATGATCACATAACTAGAACATCTAGTGTACGTGTAATTTTGTTTTCCCCAAAATTTGTTTAAACTACTTTTAAATGTTTCTATATCGTGTTTATAATTATTTTAAGGGTTTCACAATAATCTATTAAATTAAGGTGTTATGTTCATGTAATGTTTTTCCATTTTTGAACATTCAGGGTTTTCTAATTTCTTTTTATATATATCACTAAATAACAACTTTTTTCTTTTTTGATATGCTGAATTATCTACAGAAAAGAATGTGCTTATGTTTAACTTTACAGAAACATTACAATTCAGCAATGCCATATATCTACATTTTTGTTTGATTTTTAAATATGTTTTAATATAACTGAAATTTAGATAAATTTTATTTTTATAGTATTTTGGCATTTTCATACTCTTATTTATACATGTATGAAAAACGTTGGCTTTTGGATACATAGTTAATCACTAACAAATTAATTTGCCAAATTGTAATAATTATAGTTTTACTGAGCTTATTGTACTTTTCAACTTATCTACCCAGAAGGAAGAATCCATTTGTACCCTTGCTTCATAAACTACCTAATAACACCCAAACTCTCCCTTTTCTTACTCTATATTACATAGACATTTTCTAATATTTAATATTGGATATTAGCTTTAAAGAGCTACATAAATTTAGAACTTTAAACATTTCTCTTAAGTTAAACATTGCATGTCCTCATTCATATGTGGAAGCTAAAAAAGGATCATCTCCTTTTTTAGAGGTAAAAAATAGGACAGAGGATACTAGAGGCTGGAAACAGTCGAGAGAAGTGTGGACAAAGAGATTTGTTAAAGAATGCAAAATTATAGCTAGATAAGAGGAATAAGGTCTACTCTTCCCTAACACTGTAGGATGACTATAAATAAGAATAATATATTATGCCAGGCATGGGGGCTCATGCCTGTAATCCCAGCACTTTGGGATTCTGAGGCGGGCAGATCATGAGGTGAGGAGTTTGAGACCAGCCTGACCAATATGGTGAAACACCGTCTGTATTCAAAATACAAAAGTTAGCCAGGTGTGATGGCATGTGCTTGTAGTCCCAGCTACCTGGGATGCTGAGGCAGAAGAATTGCTTGGATCCGGGAGACAGAGGTTGCAGTGAGCCAAGGTTGCACCACTGCACCCCAGCCTGGGTGACAGAGCCAGACTATATCAAAAGAAATAATAATAAATAAAAATAAAAAAGAATAATATATTATATGGTTCAGATAGCTAGAAGGAGGACATTGAATACTTCCAACACAAAGAAATAACAAATATTTGAGATGATGGATATGTATCAAAACATCGCATGTACCCCAAGAATATGTACAGTTATTACATATCAATTTAAACAATATGAATTAGAACTATAACAGTTCAGTTGGAGGTACATATTGTCAAAAATATTACATTGGAGAAGATTCGAGGAGTACTTTTGCTAAATGTACTGTTTATTTTACAAAAATAAGATATCATTAGTTTCAAGATATAACTTTAAAATTTTTTAAATCTATACATTACTCTTGAGAAAATGCTTGAATTTTCAAAGACACTGTAAGTTACTTTGAAAAGTTGTCTAATTAGATAATGTAATTTTTGGAAAGATGTCAGACTATGAATAAGGAGTTGATTCTCTTTTAAAATAATAAACAAATGTATACTCTTTAGGAGCTGCATTGAAAGTCCTTTGAGGAAACAGAGAATAACAAAAACAATCACCATAAGATCTGTTGACATGAGGCACTTGTAAATTTGGTAGCAATCTTGTTTAATTCTTTTTGGTTTTATTTATTTATTTTTTGTAGAGATAAGGTCTTGTTATGTTGACCAGGCTGGTCTGGAGCTCCTGGCCTAAAGTGATCCTCCTGCCTCAGCCTCCCAAAGTGCTGTTATTATAGGTGTGAGCCACTGTACCTAGATCTAATTCTTTTTTTCTTATTAATTTAATTTAAAATATTTTTATTTTTAGCTTTTGTGGGTATATATTATAGGTGTATATATTTATGGGGTACATGAGATCTTTTGATAACATCATGCAATGTGCAATAATCACATCAGGATAAATGGGGTATCCATCACTAAAGTATTTATTGTTTATGTTATAAACAATCCAGTTATACCCTTTTACTTATTGTAAAATGTGCAGCTAGGTTATGGTCACCCTGTTGTGCTGTCAAATACTAGGGCTTATTCATTCTTTCTATTCTTGTTGCTTCACAGGTATTCATAACCTCAACATCTTAATTTATAAAATGAGGATTGCAATTAATAGGTCATGGAGTTACTGTGAAATTAAAAAAGACAATATATATCACAGCATTTTATAAATTGTACAGTCTTATGCAAATAGAATTTCAATATAATTACAAATTATTATTAGAATTTTCAATATAGCAGGTGATTAACAGATCATCTAAAAGAAAGAACATATGGCTACTATGAATGTTTTATGTGATTCCTTTAGGTCTGAATTTTTGCATTTGTTTTGTATTTATCCAAAAAGCTTTTGTTTTTGAGTCAGGATCTCACTCTGTTGCCCAGGCTGGAGTGCAGTAGTGTGATCATGGCTCACTGCAGCCCCCCACCTCCTGGACTCAAGTGATCTTCCCACCCCATCCTCCCGAGTTGCTGGGACTACAGGTGTGCACCAACACACCCAACTAAATTTTGTGTTTTTTGTAGAAATGAGGTTTTGCCATGTAGTCCAGGCTAGTCTCAAACTTATGGGCTCAGGTGATCCATGCACCTCACTCTCCCAAAATGCTGCGATTAGAGGTGTGAGCCACTGTGCCTGGGCCCAAAAAACATATTTAATGAGGAAAGATATATTATTTAAATACTATTTAATAAAGGCATTAAATGCCTTGAGTCATATCATTAGATACACAGAAATTGCATTGCTGTATTGGTAAGGGGATTGGTTACCTGGTGCAATGTTGTCTGGATTTGGAGGGCTTCGTGGATCTGGGGTGTTGGGAGGAGTCAAGGGGGCTTGCTGTGAACCACCTTCCAAGTTGCTTCCATCCAGTTTCTCATTCTGCATAGCAATACTGTGCTGTTTTTTAGGAAAAGTAAACTCTGCTGAAAACTCAAAAATATAAGCATAATAATGGGAGCTATATATGCAAAGCTCCATTTGTATATTTATAATTTAAATGCAATGTCGTTTCATTACTTCCTGGGACCTCAGTAATTTTTTACATGGTAATATGGTTCTACATTTGAATGACGCTTACTGATATCAGTCTAAGATCTGCTTTACGATGTCAATACACTTAATAATAATTAAAGGTGAAATTAGTGGAGCCTTAGTGTGTGCCATGCACTGTGTCTAGTGGTTTATATCAATCATTTCATTTCTATTTGCAACATCTCTATGAGATAAATGTATTTATTTTTGAATCCTTACTAGTCTAATAATGTAGAGCATGTTGGCCAAGCATTTGGCCTAGTAATTCTTATGTTCCATTGTATTTATATTTTGTCTTTAATTAGATTCTTTAATGGTTAGAAAGTTTAAAAATCGAATCTGAAATTTGAACAGCAATCATATGTATTCCCAACAAACCCAAAAATCATTTATATTTTAAGTTGCATAGACTTGCGAAAGGAAAAATTTGTGATTTTTTGGGAAAAAAATGCTGAAAAAAGACATTTGTCTTTTATCTCTGCCTGAGGTTAGAATTTATGGCAAAAATATTACATTAAACATTTAAAAAACTTTAAACATTGCATACCTAATTGCAAAGTCATCATCACACTTTACTGGGTTCTGAATAAGCCTAAATGTTTTAACCTTGCACTGACACCTCCCTATCTAGTCTCATCAGTTTTTAAAGATGCACCCTAAGCTTAAAACCGAACCACTTATGATTCCCCCATTATGTTGTATGCTTTTCTACCTTTGATTCTTTGATCATAGGAGTTCCCCTAGCAAGAGGCCGCCTCTCAATCTTTACCATGGTCAGATCTGTCCCAATTTAAGGAATACCCCCTCTCTTATTCTTCCTCCCTTTCAAATCAAAAGTTTTTGTCTTTCTTCTCACTGATCCCATATCATTTGCCTTTAAAATAATATTTTGTGTCCTGTTTCATTTACTAGCTTATTGGCTACTTGAGAACAGGGAATTTCATTTTGCTTATGTGTCTTTTACAAAGCCTAAGATGGTACCTTATATAGCACAAGCAGTCAGTGAATATTAGCTGAATTTTTAGTGAAAAAAATAGCCAAATCCACTTGACTCTTTTTTACTGACATTTTTTAAATGTCAACTTCCTTTTTCACTTTAGTCTTCATGCACCAGTTCTCCTCATTGCTCACACTTTTATCATATTATCACCTACCTTCTGTCCATTTTCCACCAACCATTTCCCTTCCAGTCAGACTGAATACAAATCCTGCTATGGCATTACCCCACTCTTTAGAAATTGTTCCTAATTGCCTAGTGAATAAAATGCAAACTCTTTTGCCTGGTAATCAAGATCTTGTACTCACCTCCTAAATATTATCTCTCATTCCTTGTAAAGTTCCACAAGCTAGTTCCCCACTACCCTCTGACCTCCTCAGCCCCACAGGTTGTTTCACCTGCTTGGAATGCCATCCTTTCTGTTCTTTGTTTCCTCTAAGACCCATCTTAGAATTTCCCTCTTCTTTCTGACTAACAATGTATTGGAAATGTCTCCATATTTTGCATTATCTCAATACTTCAATAAAACCTATGCCATCTTCTCATGCTCTTTCTTACTTGCTCTTGTTACCTGGATTTTGGTATTGTGTTTATGTCATTTGGAGTCCCCACCCTATTTATAATCTGGTTGAAGTCTAGTTGGCCACCGATTTGATTTGGATGTTTCTCCCCTCTAAATCTCACGTTGAAATTTCATTTCCAGTGTTAGAGTTGGGGTCTAGTGGGAGGTGTTTGGTCATGGAGGTGGATTCCTTATGAATGACTTGGTGCCATCCTCGTAGTAATTAGTTCCTATGAGAACTGATTGTTAAAAAGAGCTTGGTACCTCCTCCCTCCTCTCTCTTCCTTCCTTCCTCTCTCACCATGTGATGCCAGCTCCCCTTTCCCTTCTGCCATGAGTGGAAGCTGCCTGGGGCCCTTACCAGAAGCAGGTGCTGATGCAATGCTTCTTGTACAGCCCACAGAATCATGAGCCAAATAAACCTCTTTTCTTTATAAATTACCCAGTCTCAGGCATTGTGTGTGTGCACACATGTGTCTGTAAAATACAACATTTTGAATTTGAATTCAGCCCCTATCTTGAGTGTTGGACTTAATAATTGATGAGATTAGTATCTTTTTGTTTTACTTCTAAACCTATATTACCTCTTTAAAAAGTACGAAGTTCCTGACAACTTTAATTATAAATAAAAAGGCATTTGACATCAATTTGGGAAGTTTAAATGTATAATGCACAAAGAATAATGTTTTCTAAGTTCCTAGAATGTGTTCATGAAATAAATTTCACCTAAACTTACAAATAATTCCGCCTACATTAATTTCTAGGAATTGTAATACTAACCTGTAACCTTTTGGGGATTAATGATGAGCAGGAAAATCAACTCTTTCTAGTTAGTCATTAATTATCAGGAGACACCCAATACCTCTACGCCATCATTAAGTATACAAACAAAGCCTTATAATAGTTAGGTAGTAACCTGTATAATTATAAGTCTTATGTCATAGCATTCCATTATCTGCAATTCCCTTCAGAAAAGTTGGAAAGACAAATGAAAATATGTCTCTTTTTACTCAGTTAAGTTGATCCTAAAGAAAACACAACTAGCATGACATCCTATAGATTATGAATATATGAATTAAAAACACATACAGAAGATGCTTAACATGGTTTCTGTTGAGATATCAATAGAAATAAAAGAAGGCTCCTTTGTATGTTCTATGCTTTGTGCCAAATACACGGTAGAAGTTATTTTCTGAACAAAGCAAACACATATTTAGAGTTCCAATTACTTAGTGTGGTCTTATTTCAGAACTACTTTTTACAGTATACTTCTCTTTTTCCCAGTGGTATGTAAGATTTCTAGAGACTCAAAAAATATGATATCCTTTTGCAGTAATTTATAAGAAGAGAATTTTGTCATGAAGCCTTCTTCCATTTTACTTTATTTTTGGTGGCCTATTTTCTTCATCCATCTCCATTTTGCCATTTTGGTTAAGAAATAGCTTAGTTCCGCCAGGCCTGGTGGCTCACACCTGTAATCTCAACACTGGGTGGCTGAGGCAGGTGGATCACAAAGTCAGGAGTTCCAGAATAGCCTGGTCAATATGGTGAAATCCTGTCTCTAGTAAAAATACAAAAATTAGCTGGGCATGGTAGTGAGTACCTATAGTCCCAGCTACTCGGAGGCTGAGGCAGGAGAATTGCTTGAACCCAAGAGGCAGAGGTTGCAGTAGCCAAGATCATGCCACTGCACTCCAGCCTGGGCAACAGCGAGACTCCTTCTAAAAAAAAAAGAAAGAAAAACAAAAGACATATCTTGGTTTATGAACTAGGGCTTCAAAACTGGCTCATGCAGCAAGCAATGTTCATTTCTTTTTAGGAACACATTTTTACTATTATTATTGTTTGTGTCATAGAAACTATATGTAGCTTGAATTTGCCAGTGTCCCTCAGCAGTAGAATTCAAAGCTACACTTATTTTTTCTGTTTTTAATATGGTAGTATTTGAACAAATGACATTAATTACCAGGGGGTTGGTTTATATTTTCACTTATATGAGGTCTTAAGCACTATACTAGAATAAGAAATTCTAAAGCTAAGTTAGATTATTACTTTGACAATATATTCCAGAAAATGTAGTCAATAAATTAGATTAATGTGATATAAATTATATAAGGATCATTCAAGAACTAGATTATAAGTAAATAAAAGCTCTCTTATCTTTCAATGTCATTTGGTTTATCACTAGATAAAGCCTGTATCTATTTATCTTTGAGCTTGCAGCACAGTATCTAGAACATAATAGGCACCCAATAAATATTTGCCAAAAGTATAAATGAATGTGAATGGAAATAGATCTGAGCCTAATATTATTTTTTGAATTCCCGTCATATTAACAACATTTCAAGTTGCAATCTAGAGCCTTGACAAAGTGAATGTATTATTTTACAATGTGGCGACTATCTTCCTTAATGATTTATTGTGCAGGTAATTTTTAGAATGAAGATTAGGCAACACAGAGACCATTCAAGACAGACGGTACCTGAGAGAACATTAAACTACATATCTTCATTTTTAGGCTGAGGGGAAAAATCCAGAAAGGCAAAAAAAAAAAAAATATATATATATATAAATAAAAAAGAAAACCTTTTTGAATCAACTCTAAATCACATGGTTGGTGGGAGAGCCAGGACCAAAGGTCTCCTGATTCTCAGGCCAGAGTTTCCTTTAATTACACCATGAGAGGAGTTGGTGCCAAGAACTCTAGAATTCTGACAGCTGAGTTTCAGTCTTCTTTATTATGGAGTTGCTTAAGTCAAATGAACATACTTCCTTGAATACTACTTTCCTTATTTTGAATAAAGAATAAATTTCATCAGACTTCAGAGTATATTATGTAACTCAATAAAATATGACTTTACTGCATACATAATTATTGTTGATTGCTCTGAGTTACTTATCAATATTTAATTATTTATTTTAATAAACCCGTTTGGGGCCATTTCATTTATTCAGTGCCCAGTCTTCTGGGAATAGTGAAAAATTGTCAAGACATATTGTTATATATATTATGTGTAACTAGAACACATTTGACCACAGGTACATAAGATTATTGTCAATAATTTAAAATACAAGTGGTAAGAGAATATGTTGTGTTCCTAGAGGCATTTTAAATCTTATTGTATCTTTCTTCAGAATTACAGTTAAAGTGTTATTCCTAGAGATGTAAGCGGAAGTTATAAAAACTGACATTATTCATTTATTCGAATATCTAAACTTGTAGATGACTTTTCAAAGACTTCCTTAAGCCACCTTATTTTGTACTACTCCATAGAGAGTCTTCTCTGTTGTCATTACTGAAAGCATATGATTACATAGACTCCATCAGATGGGATAGGGATTATTTTTCACTCATACTTACAAGATAATTTTTAATAAGAGCATACTGGGAATACTTATAAGGTACATTGACTTCAATTAAAAAATCATTCCTCACAAATATAAATACTATAGTTGAGTAAGATTTGATGGCTAACTGAATTCACAATTAAAACCAGATTGAATCAATAGATGGTTGAAAATGCTTACAAATGTGAAAATTTGTTAAGTGTCCTCTCAAAATTGTCTGTTAACAAAAAGCATAACAAGGAAACTAGAAATATGGAACACAAAGTTTTGGTGTTTGTGGATGTAGATATTAGTTTCTATAATATGTTTCAGTAAGTATAGTAAAATAAATCAGGAATATTAGTCTGTTTGCTGTAAAGAAGTGAGCCGTCTAGGCCAAGTATGGTGGCTCCCGCCTGTAATCCCAACACTTTGGAAGGCTGAGGCAGGCAGATCACCTGAGGTTGGGAGTTTGAGACCAGCCTGACTAACAAGGAGAAACCCCGTCTCTACTAAAAATATAAAAAATTAGCCAGGCTTGGTGGTACATGCCTGTTAATCCCAGCTACTTGGGAGGCTGAGGTAGGAGAATCACTTGAACCCAGGAGGAGTAGGTTGCAGTGAGCCAAGATTTCACCATTGCACTCCAGCCTGGGCAACAAGAGCAAAAACTCTGTCTCAAAAAAAAAAAAAAAGACAAAGAAGTTGTCCGTTCAAAACAACTTATTACTAATGGCAGCTGTTAAGTTTTTGGACTTAGATTTGTAAGTAAACTTACAGACTTTTCATAGCTATAGGTAGAAACTCTCAGTAAGTAAAACATATTTGTTGAAGTCACCATGATCTTTTCAAATTTAGGACCAATGCACCATTCCTTTTTGATTCTTCATGCTACCAGCCCTTTGAATTGTAAAGCCATTTTCCCAAAGCTGGTTGCCTTTCTACTATCAACTTTTTCCTCTGCAATCTCTTTAATTGACAGTTTTAGTGAATGTAATGTTAATACAATATGTAAAACATAATTTAATTAATTTTTGTTTGTTTATTAGCTTTGAATTGAGGAAATCTCTGTCCAAAGGATTATATCCAAACTAGTTTGTCATTCATGAGTACCAGATTTCCATACACAATGTGGAATAAATGCTTTGAGAGGACATTGAATGTGTCTGTACTTCCAGGCGTGTTTCAGTGCCAAGATGTATTCAGCGAATAAAATGCTTATACTCACTGGTGGGGCTCTATGTGCTTTGGAAACGTTTCCATCTCAAACATGTAACAGGTTGTGATAAGACCATGGAAAATTTTAATGCCACTTCTCTCCGTTCCCTCTCGCTCCTCTTAGTGGAACAGACAAGTTTCTCAGTGCCAGATCTGCAAACTTACAATGTCCCTATTGAACTAAAAGTGTACTCATATCATACATAATAATTCTTTTGTTTACCCACCTATTCATTATAATGAAAAACAAGCCTAACAGAATAAATGGATAGAAGATAGATAAAATACTTGCTTGATAAACTAGTCAAACATACAAATTTAGAAATACTGTTCATTCATTTGGATACCACATGTTCAAGTTATACCTACATTTATTTGTGCTTTAGTTTCATACTGGAAATTTTCAAATGTGTATTTGTCGGATCTTCTTTGACGCATCTTAAATAGCCTGGCACCACGGTTACTAAGATGGGATAATTCTTCCAACATGATATCTCTGGGGATGCTGACCTTTTTGCCAAGGTCCATGCCATCAACATCTGTAAAACAATATTCACATGCATAAAAATCCCAAGGTAAGCATTTTTAATGGTTTTCTAAATTTCATAATTCTAAAATTCCATCAATTTGTAACTGCATGATCATAAGCATGTTACTTATTTTTTCTAAACCTCAGTTCCCTCATCTCTAAAATAGAGCTAATAATACTAATACCTATTGCAAAGCATTAATATGAGAATGAAATAAAAGTGCTTCATGTAAAGCATGAGGATGTAGTCTGGTACCTGGCACATAGAGTGAATAGAAGTTAGCTGTAATTACTGTTAGTACAATTTAGTCTTTCAATACAGAATGAGTTTTCAAATAGTTTGAAATAAAACCTTGCTTCATAGTTTTATTCATAAACTCTGTTTTGCTCCCCACATTTTTATGTGTCAGCTTTAGCTATCTTCCTACTGAAATGCCTACCCTCCCACTCCACCCCACCCCATTTCCCAGACTCTGTCAAAATGCTATTTATTCTACAACTAGCACTGAGGAGCCTACACAAAGTAGACAGATGATAAGTACTGAACGATCTTTTTCCCCAATCCAGCTTAACTGCCGTTTATGTTAATTTCTTACCTAAAATCTTTATTCATAATTACTCATTCATTCTCTGTATTCCCATAACACTGCATCATATATATTTGATTCTGCTTTATTTTTTTTATGGTTTGTATTTTCTTTAGGTTTTAGTCTTTGTGTCTCTCATACCTTAAAATTACACACATTTGGTAAATGAGTGTTATTTTCTATATACTAAACAGTTTTTCCAAAATCCAAAAGAGATGAAACCCCTCCACTTGCTTCTTCAATCAGTAATATATTTCTGTAATATACACAGAGTCCTTTGCCACTGTTAACTACCATTAAATGCATAGGAAGAAAAATCAGGCCATTAGGAAAATAAATATTTTGATTGATTGGGGCAACATTCTTTGATGACATGACCTATTAACCATAATAATTAAGCTTTTGGGAGTATTTAGAATTAAACAACAGAATTACTTGTTAAATTTCCTCCCCACTTTTCTTTTGAAAGAAAAATTGGTTTACCTGTTTTGTTATTACATGGAGAGAAGTCAGCTAATTATAAAAGTCACAATATCAAGACTTCTGCTTTTGGGAAAATGAAGTAGATGTATTTTTTCCTATACAGCTATTAAGTACAACTACACATGTTGGACATTATAAATTAAAAAAAATTAAAAGACTTTGAAAGTGGAAAGAAATAAGCAGATGAGCTAGGGACCCCAGGACCCAAGGAACAACATAGTGGTACTACTCTGGGTTTTCTTTGAGCCCCTAAATCTCAGACTTGAAGCTAAAGATGATGGCAACCCAAAAATACCAAGAGGTACAGGCAGGCAAAGTAGCAACGAAAGGCTGTTCTCTCCAGCTAAAGGACCAGGAGAGGAGCTGCCTATGCAAGACATAAAATGTTTAGACAGTGGACACTCTACTTTACCAAGTGCCACAGAAAACACTTTGACCTCGCTCTCGCCCATGTTAAGATCTTGAGGGGAACCCAGAATTTCACCCTGTGAGGCTGTAACAAAGTTCTCCAATACTCCCATTAGGGTGGTGTCAGAGAGACTGAGTGGGAAGTTGGGACTTTCATTCCTGTTGGCCAGTAACTAGCCCCTTGTCCCTCATGCAGTCTTAGTGAAGATTATGTGGGTGTCTGAACTCCTGTCTTCTCCCCACAATAACGAAGAGGCTCCCCTCAAGTTTCAGTGGAGCCAAATAGGGAAACTAGACTTCTATATTTATCTGGCAGTAATGAGTTGGCACGCCCCTTTCTCTGCTAGAGTGGTGTCAGATAGGAACAGATGAAAAAGAGGGTTTAAATAAGAGCAAGCATCGCAGAACATAACCTGAAAATGTCCAGGCTTAAATTTGAAAATCACTCACCATTCAATGAACTAGGAAAATATCAAACTGAATGAAAAAAAAAAAATCAAATGCCAACACTGGGATGACTGAGATATTAAAATGATCTGACGAGGATTTTAAAGCACCCATATTTTAAAACATTGCTTCAGAAAGCAGTTAGGAAACTGCTTGAAATAAATTCTTTACATGGAAACCTTTTTTGGCCGAGACTCCATCCGCAGCAGCAAAAAACCAAACAAAACAAAAAAAACATGTCAATAGAGAAATAAAAGATGAAAAGAACCAAATAAAAATTTTATAACTGAAAATACAATAACCTGAGTGAAAAGCTCAATGAATGGGCTCAGTAGCAGAATGGAGGGGGCAAAGGAAAAAAAAATCAGTTAACTACTAGAATAGTAGAAGTTTCCCAATGAGAGCAACACAGAGAAAAATAGATTTGAAAACAAATGAACAAAGTATTCTTAGGGATTCATGGGACTATAATAAAAGATATAGTATTCATGTCACTGAAGTTCCAGAAGGAGAGGAAAAAGAAGGGGAGGCTGGAAATGCTCAAAGAGATCATGGCTGAAAAACGTCCAAAAGTTGACAAGAGATATAAACTTACACATTCAAGAAGCTAAGAGAACCCTAAATATAATAAACCCAAATAACTCACAACAAGACTTACAATTAAGCTTCTGAAAACTAAAGACGAAGAAAAAAATATTGAAAGCCACCAGAGAAAAACGACTACTGATAAGGGGAAAATAAACAGAATAATAGTGGATTTCTCACCAGAAACTGTAGAGGCCAAAATGAAGTTGTACGATAGTTTTCTACATGCTGTAAGAAAAGAACTGTCAACCCAGAATCCCATACTCAGTGAAAAATATCCTGCAAGGAATAAAGGGGAACTTGAGAGGTTCTCAAATGAACGAAAACTAAGAGAATTTGTTGCTTGAAAGCCTACCCTAAAAGAATGGCTAAATGAAGTTTTTTAAACAGAGAGGAAACAATAAAAGAAGGAAGGTATATAGTAAGCAGAAATATAGGTATATGCAATAGGCTTCCCTTCTCTTGAGCTTTCTAATTTATATTTTATTGTGGAAGTCGAAATTATCACACTGACTGATGTAAATGTATGTAAAAGCAATACTTAAGACAATTACTTTATAAACAGGAGAGGATAAAAAGACATCCAAGTAGATACTTTTTGTTGTTGTTGTCTGGGGTATTTTTAGACGGAGTCTTACTCTGTTGCCCAGGCTGGAGTTCAGTGGCACGACCCTGGCTCACTGAAAGCTTCACCTCCCAGGTTCAAGTGATTCTCCTGCCTCAGCCTCCTGAGTAGCTGGAACTGCAGGTGCTTGCCACCACCATGCCCAGCTAATTTTGGTATTTTTAGTAGAGATGGGGTTTCTCCATGTTGGCCAGGCTAGTCTCAAACTCCTGACGTCAAGTGACCACCAACCTTGGCCTCCCAAAGTGCTGGAATTACAGGCGTGAACCACTGTGCCTGGCCAAAAGCAGATAAATTTTGTATACTTCACTTTCACTGGTGAAGTAGCAACATCAATAGACTATGATAAGTTATGCATAGATAATGTATATATAATAAGTTATGCATATATAATGCAATACTTAGAGCAATTCCTGAAATCTATGTGAACAGATGCATTTGAAAACACTATACCAAAATGAAATTCTGAAGTAATCCCCAGGAAGAAAGAAAAAGAAAACAGGAATGTAAAACAGAGATGACAAAAAGGAAACCCAATATAATTATGTCCTTAAGCTCTAATACATTAATAAATTAAGTGTAAATAATCTAAATACATCAGTTGATGTCAGATTGGATTAAAAGCAAACCAACTATGATTTGTTGAACTATGCTGCCTACAAGAAACTCACAGCTTATAATAACACTATAAAAAAGTTGAAAGTAACAGAATGGAAAAATACATATCAAGCACAAAAGTCAAAGGAAGTGGCTACACTAATATCAGATAAAATAGACTTCAGAGCAAGAAAAATTACCAGAGACAGAGAACGACATTATTTAATGATTAAAGTGTCAATCCACAAAGGTTACCTAGAAATCCTAAATCTATATGCACCAAAAACAGAGCTACAAAATATTTATAGTAAAAAATGTAGAACTAAAAGGAGAAATAGACAAATTCACAATTATACTTGGCACCTTCAATCCACCCATCTCAACAGATGATAGAACAGGGCAGAAGAGCAGTAAGACTATAGCAACCAATAGGACTTGACATTTATATTTTATTCAATAACAATAGAACACACATTTCTTTCAAGTGCCCATGGAATATATATCAAGATAGATCATATCTTAGGCTATAAAATAAATCTCAACAAATTAAAATGATCAAATTATTTGGAGTATTAGCACCGATCACAATAAAACCGAACTAGAAATTAGTAATAGAACAATAACAGGAGAATCTCCAAACATTTGGAAACTACTCAACATACTTCTAAATAATTAGTGGGACAAAAAAGAAGTCTCAAAGAAAATGAAAAATTCAGTGAATTAAATGAATATGAAAATACAGCATATCAAAATTTATGGGACACAGCTAATGCAGTGCTGAGAGGAATATTTAGAGCACTAAATGCACAGTTAAAAAAGAGAAAAGCATCAAATCAATAAACTGTCTACACCCCAAAAATGTGAAAAAAGAAGGAAAGAAATAATAAAGATAAGAGCAGAAACCAATGAAATAAAAAACAAAAACAATAGAAAAGATCAATGAAGTATAGAGCTGGTTTTCAAAAGATCAGTAAAATTGACAAATCTCCAGTAAGATTAACATAGAAAAGACAGAGAAGACACAAATTAATAATATTAGGAAGAAAATAAGAGATATAATTACAGACACTGCAGATAGCAAACAGATAATAAGAATATTAATACTACAAACAATTCTACATATAAATTCACGTAAACTTAAGAACTTAGAAAAAATTGACCAGTTCCTTGAAAAGCACAAATTACCTCAGTTCACCCAACATGAAATTCAATTCAGGCAATTGAATTTATAATCTAAAAATCTCCTAGCCCCCAAAAGCCTTCAGACTTAAATGATTT